GTGGCTGAACAACTTTTGCAGAAAACAACTTTCTGTGTGGGGGGCCTCCGGCCGCGATTAGGGATTATAACCCTCACTAAGTAGAATTCTCCTTTCTGTTTTACTGAAGAAGAGGGACTGAACACCTTTTGCACAGATATTTCGTGGATATTTTTTGTTTGACAGCTCGGCTCGAAAACTTTGCAAAAAATACCATATTTCCGACATTAATAAATTAGTGCACAGATATAGTAAATTTTATTTCTGTCATAAAGCGTGAACTGTTGTCTACAAGTGTGTTTTAAAGGTTTTTGATTCGATTCACGCGTTTTGGGCACAGCAACCCAAAATCGTACAAATTCATAGAGTACCCCAATACCTGTACCATGCTGTCCACCTAAGTTTTATTTCTGAAACTGATTTCCGAAATGTGACAGAAAGGTCTTTCTGACTGTTCACACATCGAAATAAAATTTTATTTTTCAATTTGACTGCGAATTGCGTGGAAAAGTTGGAAATATTGATGCCTATTACGGTATCTGACGAATGCTATCCGCAGGGGTCTAATCCAATTCAAACTGTGATATGAAGCTACTGTAAAGGATTACTGCGAATGTCAATCGCACAAAGATTTTCCTTCACACTCGCGTGTTACGACAGTGCGAATGGGATTAGATCCGTGCAGATGGCATCCGTCGGATACCGTAATAGTTATGATTGCCACGTCTGACACGCTCTATACAACACATCGTATAATTGCACCATGGCGTAGGTCTACGTGCTGCTACAACAATCGGTTTGGCCATTGGTGCTCAACCTTATGTATGTACATAAATTAATTTTTTTTGTCGAAGGTATGGTTTCAGCACCTTTTATTAAAATTTACATAATATGCGAAAGGTCGAGCAAAGTGCAACGATATTCAGCAAGAGACACAGATATAAAACAGGTTTGCATATATTTTATATGCTTCTTATACATACATACATACATATCAAAAATTATAAAAAATACCATATTTGGAATAAATATACAAACTTTGATCCAAATTACCATGCTAATTATTCAGTTTTTTTCATTGTTCGAAATTTGTTGTTTCCACTTAATACTTTTTTACGTTGCGCAAACATGTGCAAATACATTTGCGGAAAGAGTGGTATATACAAGAGCATCACAATCCAAAGTAGCGTAAAATATGAGAATGTGGCATTCCATTTATTTGGCAGTTGCCATGACCAAATTGTATTTGATTTGGCATAGCTCTGTGCCCACCAAAAACACAGCAACTCTCCAGTAACTCCAATTGGGTACAGTGCGATAAATGTTGTGTAACGTAGAAAGACAACAATATACGGCATAACATTTAAAATGTTTAATGCATAGTAGCCGTATCTAATGATCTCCGTTACAGCCCAAGCGAAAAGTGCGATGGGAAGTCCAGGTGACACCTTTCCACTCGGCGTAGCCATAACAACTCCAATTACAACCATCATTCGACTCAGTACTTGAAATGCAGTTATCACTGGATTTGACTTTACTAGACCAAATGCTGCATTTACAATTTCAACAAATGCAGCATTTTGGAAAACAATTACTGCAAGATAAGTGTAGTCCCAAAGTGAAACTTGTGCCCGGAATTCTGGCCCTTGCAGAAGATAGAAATTTATCAATTGGAATAGGATTAAACTCCAACCAGCCACTTGTACGGCATTGTATAGGAAAAGGTAACCTTTGACCATTGCTCCCGGTTGCTTTGATGTCGATTCCACCGAAGTCGAATTTGCTGTCATATTCGTTTAATATTTACTTTCAAAATCAAAGACTCGGCAGATGTTTACGTCTATACAGTTTTACTGTTCTCCACAAAATGTGTTCCAATTCGAATTCATATATTCATATCAGTGCTCGGAATCCACCTCATCAGTGTGCCCCTTTTTTTGTTGCTCGACTGTGATTTAATAATAATGTAATAGGCGAAACACAATGCCGGCGAACGGCAAACTTCGCAGAATTTAGCGATGCTGTCGTTCATTGTTCGCCATTAGGGTCCACCACCGAAAAATGGTGCAAAACAATTGAAAGGAGTATCAAACGACGCGTATTAGTATTAAGTATTAAGATTTTTTTTTACCGTTTAAACGTTATTCGTAAAAACAGTTCGATTTTAGTTCACTTTGTCAGTACTAAATGTACGTTAATAAATCCTTTAAATGTATACATATCTAGATGTTCACTATAGTTTACTTTAACTGAATTTGTAACAAAAAATCGCGAACCTTATTGA